TACCAGCCTTCACGAACATCGCTCGCCGAGGCAACCTATTTGGCGACATGCGTAACACATGCCCCAAGGTCGATCACTTTTTCCAGTGGACGACCGCGACTGCCTAAAACTCTGTACCTAACATCAGCATTGCTCATCCGGTTACTCCACCAGATTGGTGTAATGCGACGTAGACAGCGGTGTTCGAACACCGATAATCTATTTTTATCCTGTTCCTTTAGTGGCCAAGTTTCTGCACCGTATAGCAGGACTGGTCGAACTGCTGCAGCATACACTCGACCCTTCACAGACAACCGGATGTCGCGACGGCGCCACAAATGTCTCAAGTTGGCAAATGCCAATNGATGAGATATAGCTGCCCAGATAGCAATATTTGTCTACTTCCTCTACTACTTCCCCAGTTTGAATGGGACTGGGTGCTGGACCAACCCAATCCTGTAGTAGCATTTTACACTTTGAAGGTGCAAAATGCATATCGAACATCAACACACTTACCTGGATCTTCACTTAGTAGCACAATGTCGTCTGCAAACTTTAGATCAGACAGTCTGCCACTTGGAAGTACATCGATACCGCTATCTTCGAACGAGAATAGGGCTGTTTCAAGAATTGAATCTATCGCGAATTTAAGTAGAAGAGAGAGAGGGAGAGAGGGTAACCCTATCTAACACCACAACAATTGTGCAAACCACTGCGGGATAAGTTTAGTTCCGGCCACAGAAAAATATTAAATTCTGTGATAATTCCGTCTTTCCAACTTGGTCTGCTCCATCCTGTAACCGTGTTGCAAACTGAACGATAAAGCAAACCTCACGGCTGATGAATCTCCCGAATAGGAGTTCTGAAACATGGCCCCTCTACCCACGAAAACAACCTTCTCATAACCAGAAGAGCAACAAGAAAGATGAGAATTCCGAAGAGCACGTATATTCCATTTAGTAAAAAATCGTTGTACCAGATGCACTTCTAAACTTGAGTATCGCCAAAACTTTGAAACATGGTGCAATCGGACTGGTCGCTCACCTTTTCTTATGGTTGCACAGTTTTTCCAATAACATTACGTCCTATGGGTAGTGTTTTGTTTTTTGGGTTATTTTCCGTTCGTTTAGCACATTATTATTTCGTTGTGAAGTTCCCCGCCTGCTTTACTTCACTTTCCTTGTTCTGGCCTCCTCCAATAGATCGCGGCAACGACAATTGGCTCATTCGATACGAAACGTCTGATCTCAGCGAAAATTCAGCCGAGGCAAGTCACACAGTCTGACCCGATTTACTCGCTCGCTACTTGCTCGAACATAAGCAGTACAGGGTTTCATTATTCGATTTATCCCGTTGGTGGATGTTTTCTCAATAGTTATACTTCTTGTACACCGGCCGATAGCAATTCTCAGACACATACAAGTATAACACTGCGCACATACTGCGAGGAAGGACTCGTTCACCGTGCTTATTTATTTAGAGACAAATGGGTAGCCATGGGAATAGCATGTTTGTTCCTCAACCTTGAGTTGACGATTTTCACGGGAGATTTACCTATGGATCAATCGTTTGGTATAGCCTGCTCATAATTGGAATGGCTATCTCAGATAGATTGAAGGCTACCTCACACGCTCCTCTAGCGCATTCCATTAAACTGGCTGGGCAACGACGGATAGCGACTGGTTATGTTGAAGATGCTCACTTCCTTTTTGTCCTACGATAGAGTAAACATCCGGTAAGAGTTTCATTGGACGTCAGTTTTCATCCCATCTTTGTGCTTGGGTAATATTTGACGTTCTAAGTCCGTTCTCTACAGAGATCAGGTTGTGCACCAAACAAAAAATTGCCGACCCTGTCCTCAATTGCATTTCTTTCCTACTTGATTCCTAGTTTTTTTGCAGTTCAGGTTTGGTTTTAGCCAGTACCGACACTACCTTTTCCAAACCGGAGATCCCATAGCAGTCCATACTTTTCCAAAGACTTTCCGCAGCAAGGGTGTCCATATATAGTACACTAGCATTCTTTGGCACATAAGTGCATTAATACAAATAGACATTCGTCTGAATGACCTCTTTCGTTCTATTTTAAACGATGGACTCTAAGCGGTGGTGTCGGAGGTGGAGAAGCCCTCCATTGCAGTAGGGTCAGTAATAGCGCTAACAACACGTATATCGTGCATTCTTAGAATATTTACTTAAAATATTTAACAGCGGAGCTATCCTCCTCCTCTTCATCATGAGGTTTCGTTGGAGTTTGGCGCTAGAGGCGCCCTCAGTGTCATCTGATTTTTCTTCGAGGGCTCACCTCGAACCTTTGTGCAGCCACTTTCAAGCTGCAGGGTCACAGTGTGCTATGACATGGTTGCCGATGGCTCAGTACGAGCTCATTCACCCATAAATATACGTGGATGCAACCCAGGGACCCATGCGTCGCTGTTCGTCTGACAGATTCCCCCAATAACCGGTAAATCAGATGGTAGATTTCATCCGTCCATTGAAGGGTAACTGTGTCAATCATACACTCATTCCCGCCATTCCCTAGAACACTCTCCCTAGTGCTCCTATTGATGTTTTGATGGACACGGCTAATCACTCAATCAGCTGCAACCTTCGCTTCAAGATGTACTGTTAAAAGCCATCCCCATCAACCATCACCGTATAAGTACCGTGATTTGTTTTACAAACAGTCTGGATCCTAACGTGTTCGAAGTGTATGAAAAATGTGTATATCGTGGTACAAGTGCACACCTGAGGGTAAATTCGTATCTAGGATCACTTCACTCGGGTTCATCACCAAAGGTAGGTTTTTCTATATTTACGCTTGTTCGGTGGTTCAAAATTAGAATCGTCGAGCTCCTCCACGGCAGCTAGCTACTTATCAACTCGGCTATTCTTTCGGTTATTGGATTTTCACCGTCTCGTTTTAGTGAAAGCATCCTAACCACAGCAGGCTAGTGAGCGAGTAGAACATTGCTAAGCAGATGCCTTATGTGACACCGTCCGTGAGAGCATTTATCGAATCAGGAACGAAATCTTGTCTTTTTTTACACACCACTGAGTGATGAACAGCAGTCGCGGCGGATCCCATAGTCACAAAGACCTGTTGTTCAGTGAGGGTAACCGGCAATCTAAGCCTCGGGGCTTGGAGTGGCGAACCACATAAGACTCCGCTAGCTCAGGCGTGGTATAGAACCAGGCGATAGCAAAGCTGACTACCACCAAAGTTGGGTGGTGGTGGCGAGGCTCGGACCGCAGAGTCCAAAGCACGCCTGTGACAGAGACTAAACCACTGCACCACCACCACCCTGAGAGAAATAGAGGCATTTGAAAGGCCTATAATCATAACCTAAGTGTAGTTGAGCGGTGAGTGGTAGGAAAGGGCCAGTCAGGCCAAATGTAACAGTTTTCGACAGTATGGTGAATTTTGTCGCTTAAAGAGCAAATAATGCTTGAAGTGAAAAGCTGGGAAGCACTGGATAGATTCAAGTCAACGCGGTCAATACCGAGAAAATACCACTTGAAGAAGTGCGGACTTAGGTGTTCGTTCACCTGGATTGTGATCTGCGCAACGGCTCAAACGGATGGTTTAAAAAATTGTAACTGAAACTGCAACCGGGTCACATGTGCGTCTTTGTGAATCGCCTTGGCGTTTCGATCACCATTTGATGGGGTTTATTTTCCAAGCTTTTTGTGGAATTTATACTCCATGTGATTCAAAATGTCTCTGCCACCCTCAGTGGTCTTAACAGTTCACACTTGCATGCACTTGTCCATCGGTATGTTATCGATTTAACTCAGTCATGATACGCTTAAACGCATTTTTTCTATTGGATAGGCCTGATGATTTCTGTATTGTTCTGTTCTGCTCAACGATACGAAATAAAATTAGTTTCCGAACTGAACAATGGGAACTCCGAGAAACGCATTTATCCATTCGTGTGTGTGTACGTTTCTGTTTGTTTAATGTCTCTCACCGAGTCACATAGACTGAAACTGTTTCGAATGTGCTGGTGATTTTCAAATAAACACAGCTGTATTGCTTCAAGTAGATGACGGATTTAGTAATATCTATCGATCGATCCGTATATGTAACGAATAAACAAAGAAACAAATAAGTTGTTGCCCACGATTTTTGCATTCGAACCCCGGTTTGTACATAGGATACCTTTGAGAATAATCACTGAGCGGTCAAATTGCATGGAAATAGCAAACTGGCGTTATCACGAATGTACACCCCGAAATCGAGGTAGACGACGTGATCATTACGACGAAGCAATAATCATGCTTGTACTTGTTTTCGATTTATGCAATATAAAGTTGTGTAGTCTTTTCTCAACATAGGTCTGTGATCAAATAATAAAGGCTGCTTGGGGAAGATGGATGGTCGCTGTTTTGATGACCTTTGCCGATTGAATATCACCACCCAGTAGTCGAGCGGCATTGTTCATTCGTTCGCAACCTGAACAGTTATACACGAAGTTTAAGTTGTTCGAATAATCCTTTCTTATTCGCTATGCTCTTGTTGGATATAAGAGAGGAGAGCCTAATAGCTGGGAGAACTGGGAAGTTATGCTTTGTTAACTGTTGTAGTGGGCAGCTGTAAAATCCTTCAACTCGAATGATGTAGCAATATCCCTGATCGACATTGAACCCTATTGTGGAATTACAGCTTCTGTATGAATACAAAATTACTGGGATCGTGGAGGCATTGCGCAAGTCTTTCTCGGACCTGGTTGCCTTCTCTTTTTGGGTATATCAGTTCACACCTAGTACCTCATCACGATTGCTCGTTTTTATACGAATTCACCAATTTTATTCCCTTTACCTCCACAGGATTCCCAAGCCGAATGGGGTGTTGTAAAGATGCCAAAGATTCAAGTTTTCGCAATCGACAATGGCCTGGCTTTTCCCATGAAGCATCCGGATGAATGGAGAGCGTGTACGTTTACCAGCTTCATTCGGCGTAACATACCCCTGATACTCTGGTGCATCCAATTCCCTGTGCACCTCATCATCGAGGTGGCTCATTCTTGTATAGTAGTTACACACTCGATGTCATCTTTAAAATACAACCTACACGGAGCTCTCTCTTGTCACCTGACACACTAGCTCACTAATCTTGTTCAGGTGATCGACGTTAGGAACACCACGTGTCCTCACGATAGTACTTCGTTATTATGGGGAGAGGCTCATGTATGTTCTATGCTATATTTCATGCACACCGCCCCCCGCCCCATTCTGTTGAGTTTGTCAGAAGACAGAAATGTTTGGAACAGATGCCCAATTTTTCAAGTCAAAGTTCATTACAAGACGTAATTAATCACCCGTAATTATTTCGATTGATTGGCGTATGAATGAATGATAGTCAATATTCGGTTCCTGTGTTTCAGAGCTGTCGTTGGTTTCCAAGGCTATCCCATGTCTGCGCAACAGACGTTCAAGACAAAGAATTGGTTTAGTTTTGCTTACCGTGGATAAAATGGGCTACCTCTCCTCACCCTTAGACATTACATTCCTTCTTACGTACCGAATGGTTTGTCACATTACCAATATTCCCATTGTCACTATTGATCTGAGGTGTATGCTCATTCACTATCCGATTGATTTTTCTGGACGGTACACAGTTCACTCTATCCACAGTAAGTAGTTGTGTTGCATAGATCAAAACCAACTAGAGAAATGAATTAGGAAACTGCGAAACTTTACGGAACTGATCAAGCCAAATCAATACCATACACCTGCATTCATTATTTTTGACTCGCCCACCTGTTGTTTAGACCGTTTTATAGAACAAAAGGGTGCATCGCGAAATTAAACACCGAATCGTTTTGCAACGAAAGTGTCGGTCGTTTCATATTGTTTCATTGGTTTCAATCAAGCCGATGCATACCACAGATGGCAAGTCACGTGATGTTCACGCAGGCCTAAGTAGTCATATTTTAGCGCAGTATTTTTTATTTCATTTTCGTATGTGGAATTCGTTTCACCGTCTGTTGATTAAAGGTCCCATCTGTTCGTGTCAACAACGAGGTCTTTCTCTTCGTTTGAGCGGTGACTGAAATCAGGGGTAAAAGGTTTTCAAATAGAACAAGGAGTGGCGAACAAGCTCGTTTTCAGTGATTCGTAGTCATGCCAAATACATCACAATAGATATTACGCTGTTTATATATAAATCAGTATTCAACCATAAAAACGCAAACAAATGTTACGGGAAAGGGAAAATAACCTCATGGGTTATCCGGGGCTAAGTTCATCTTGG